CTTTTTCAGCAAATCATATCGCAATAATTATTTGTTATTTATTTGTTTACTAAATTTTTGTTCAATACGCGTGCTGAATTATTTTAAATATTTTTTGTCCGTTACAATTTTTTTCTTTAGGTGCTCACCAAAGTCGCTATTGTATATAGATGTATATTTTTTATATTTTATTAATATATAAAATATCCCCAGTAGCAAACAATATTGGCGTAATATTGGCACGATATTGGGTATCTTGGCTAATCTTGGCCAAGATACCTGATATTGCGCCAATATTGTCAAGCAATATTACGCCAATATTGTCTTACCAATATTGGCAAACAATATTGCGCCAATATTTTCAATTAACGTTTTGGTTCGGTGTCTTTAAAGCGAAACTTTTAAGAGCGAAAGTTTTGAAAGCGAAAGGTCGGGAAAGCGAAAAAGTTAAAAGCGAATGCGATTGGTTAAGCGAGAAAATTTTTTTAACAACATTAGTAACATCTTAAATTAAGATGTTATTAAGATTTAATAACATCTTAATAACATTGGTAACATCTTAATAACATTTTAATAACATTGGTAACATTATTATTTTTATATAAATACATATGAGTTAACCTATTATTCTTTTTCATTGAATTGTGTCATCTTAAAGTTGTTACAATTGAAGTGAGTCAGTTTCAGAAATAAGTTCATGAAGTTTATTATAAACTTTAAAAGTTTATACTTTATAGAAAATTGAGTAGGGCACAATACACCTCTTCACAGTTTCGATAATTTCGTGCGCGCGCATTTTTAAATAGTTTGTTATTGTTCATTGTGCGCAGAATCGCATGAAAGAGTTTGATTTGTACTAATAAACTACAGAAGAAAGTCATTTATTTTAGTTAGTTTTTACTATTTTTAATTGTTTTAAACATGAAACCTCAAAGTTTGAAAAGAAAACGATCAATGGGATGTGCTGTATTTGATTGCAGCAGTAGCCAATATAATCTTGAGCTTTGGCGCAATGAATTTTGTGAGTTACACAAGGTCTTAAGAAGCAGTTTGACTTGCAGATGTTCGGAACCTTACAAGTATGTATACTACATATAATGTTATTTATCTAAAATTTAAACATCTGGCTAAACATGTATAAAGTGAATTAATGAATTAATGTTACATATTATGTGTAGACATTATGGAATAGGGGTATATAGTACCTATAATAATGTAATAATATCTGTATATAATAATATTATACACAGATATTATTAATATCTTCCTACAACATGTATAAAGTGAATTATATGTTACATATTATGTGTAGACATTATGGAATAGGGGTATATAGTAACTAAATAATAATGTAGGAAGATATTAATAATATCTGTATATAATAATATTATATACATATGTTATTAATATCTTCCTACATTATTATTTAGGTACTATATACCCCTATTCCATAATGTCTACACATAATATGTAACATATAATTCACTTTATACATGTTGTAGGAAGATATTAATAATATCTGTGTATAATATTATTATATACAGATATTATTACATTATTATAGGTACTATATACCCCTATTCCATAATGTCTACACATAATATGTAACATTAATTCATTAATTCACTTTATACATGTTTAGCCAGATGTTTAAATTTTAGATAAATAACATTATATGTAGTATACATACTTGTAAGGTTCCGAACATCTGCAAGTCAAACTGCTTCTTAAGACCTTGTGTAACTCACAAAATTCATTGCGCCAAAGCTCAAGATTATATTGGCTACTGCTGCAATCAAATACAGCACATCCCATTGATCGTTTTCTTTTCAAACTTTGAGGTTTCATGTTTAAAACAATTAAAAATAGTAAAAACTAACTAAAATAAATGACTTTCTTCTGTAGTTTATTAGTACAAATCAAACTCTTTCATGCGATTCTGCGCACAATGAACAATAACAAACTATTTAAAAATGCGCGCGCACGAAATTATCGAAACTGTGAAGAGGTGTATTGAATTGTTTAGAATTTTGCTCCAAAACAAAGCGTAAAAGTTAAGTGTGTATACCAATTGTAATAGGGAAAATTAGTTGTTTTCGCATAAAAAATTTAGTTAGTTAGAAGTAGTTCTCTTTTATGTGCCAGCATATCGGCCAGTTATATTTACTGTTTAATTATCTGCAAGGCAAAGTGAGTATTTTAATATTTTTGTTTAAAATAATTTTAATAATTGTTATCAGACATTCACTTTAGAAATATGAATTATAGCTTAAACTTTAGGCTTTTAAGTTAAAGCCTGTGTCAAAAATGACTTTTATATGTTGTATTTAAATATGACTTAATGACATTATTTATATGACAAAAATGGCTTTTATATGGTGCATTTGCCTGAAATTTGACTTATAGTCTATTAGTCAAAAATCACAATATAAGTCTCTATAATAAAGATACTTATATTGTGACCATTATGTATGGCATTATCTTGATCGATGTTGTTACACTTGGAATATGTTGTTTCAACTTTTAGGTATTTTATTTTGCTACAATTTTTTTATGATGTTGTTTTGATTTGATTTGTTCTGTAAACAGAAAGCTGTACAGTGTCCTTTTTTTTCCCACCTGTTGAATTTCAGCAACATTTTTGTCAAAATTATTTATAGTTCATTTTACAAGAGGTAGTAGAAGATTATTTTATTTTTAACTACTTTCTTATTTTGTAATGTGGTTTTTTTTTTAGAACAACTTAAGAGTATGATTTAATAACTGTGTGAATCTTCTTGGTTGATGCCTAAAAGATTTTTTGAAGGCAGTTCTACATTTTATTGAAATATAAAAACATGCCAAAATCCCAAAAATTATTCTGCGTAATGTTTTTTGGATTGTTTGCATGTAAAATTAAAAATTCAGTCATTAATTGTGAAAAAGACTAATTGGCTAATTAGTTTAAAAAGTTTCAATGGTGATGATTGATTGGTGAGAAACTTATTTACTTTTTATGTTTTAATTACATGATTTGTAAATATTTATGATATGAATTGTTTGTGATCTCAGTATAGTAAAGTTTTTATTTCTACATTTGTATTACTTAGCACAAATATTTTATAATTTTGTCTACAGATTGGTTTGTAATAGCCTTAATTATCTTATTTACTTAATGTTCAGTATACTGTTATGTTGTTTTTAAACTAGATAAAATAGTTTTTAAAATGAAAATGACTGCTGGCTCTATATGAATCTAATTTAAGTTTACTTCTTTGGGAATTTTATATCATATATTAAGTTTATTGTATTGGTAACTTTTTTATTACTAAAAAAAGAATTTTGTTACACAAAAAAAAGTGTAAAATGCATAACATCCCAGCTATTACAATATATTGGAGGGCTTTTATTGGAAATGTTTTTTTTTTAACATTTTCATTTCCAACAAGACTGCAAGCACCTACTATTAGAGAAAAGATGAAATTTATAGAGTAAAATAACAACTAACAGAATTAAGTTTCACGAAAAAACAGATTAGAACTTTTTAGGCACTTAGGAACAGTCATATTAAAGGATTAGCCTTTATTGAATGATGAGTAACACAATAGTGAGTTTTAGTAGATGATACAAGAGACGCTAGCTCTTTAGAGCAGTGTCCATAATTGTATTTATAAAAAATAAAATGAGAAGCAACATTATGATAATATTCTAATGGTTGGAGGTTGGCTGCAAAGGTCAAGGTGCAAAAACAATTCCTTTTTGTACCTTGTCTAAAAGAGAAAGGCCATTACTGGAAGATCTGATTAAGATATGGCAAAAGTGTTCCATGCAGGGATGGATGTAAGATTTATAGAGATAAGACATAAATATTTATAGAGATGTTTGAATTGATGAATACTTTTAAATTTAATATTGTATCATAAGTTGACAATATATTCAAAGACTGAAATTTAGCACAATTGTATTAAGCAAAGGTCTTTGCACACCACCAATTAAGCATTTATATTTCAAGAGTTGTTTATTGATAAAAGCTTGCCTTAATTTACATAAATAGTAATATTTGTAGATATTATTATCTACTAGATAATAATTTATATTAAAAACTAACCTTTATATGTCTCGTTTTCAAATATGTTGTGTTGATATATTTGCCCTGGCTTTTAGTTTATGACTCAAAATTTAAACATCAATTCTTGAGGTTTAACTATCTCATCATTTCTAAAAGTATTAAGGGTAGACAGCCTAACTCACCATACCTAATCAAAACAAAAGAACATTATAAATTCGTATCTTTCTAATTTTATGAATAATTTTTATTTAAACATTAAAACAATTTTTTGGTTGAAATCTAATACATAAATTTCAAAAAACAAATTAAAATTAAATAATATCAATAAGAATTTATGCAAATCTTTTTTTTTTTATCTATAACTTATTAACTTGTAGTGCAATTATAATTTTTATGCAAGATTTTATACCTTTTTGTCGCAATGTAACTCAAGTCTCAGCTAGAATACCAAATGAATAAATAATTCTAAACTATATGCATTTAATTCTATACTAAAACTATATACATAAACTCTAAACTATATACAATAAGTTTTTTTTATTTATTTAATCTAATAAACTCTAACTGTAACTATAACTCTCAGCTAGAATATCAAATAAATAATTCTAAACTATAACTAACTTATAATTATAAAAATATTAACAGTTTAAAAAAAATAAAATCCAAACGCTAAATAATCTATAATATAATATTGAGATAATAACAAAATCAGAAAAAATTTCAATAAACTTCAGTTGTTGTTGCTGTTGAACTTATCGCGATACTCGATTTCCCGGTTTTCGCTTTCAAACTTTTCGCTTTAACGTTCTTTCGCTTTAAAACTTTTCGCTCTTACGTTCTTTCGCTTTTAAACTTTTCGCTCTAACCTCCCATTACCAACGTTTTACAGTCATTCTGGGTAACTTTGAATTTGCGGGTAACATTGAACTAAACGTGTAAATGTTTTTAAATTATTTTTTCTTTGGTATTTTCTTTGCCTGTTGCTTAAACAAAGAATAATATGATGAATTATCTTTTTTTACAAAAGTTTGACCAAAGAAAATTAAATTTTATTTCTCAAAAATAATGTTTTCCTCCATTTCCAGTTACACAGTCGAATGTGGTGATAACATCGTGTGTTTTCAATTTAGAATATTTGGTATTATATTGTAATTATCTGAATAGATTTTTAAGTATTTTATTGAATTATTTTTCGAACTTTAATACAAACTCAAAATAATAGGATTTAACATGTTTTTTGCTACAAAAAGGATATTTATTTCCACTTAGCTAAAATATAACCAAATTCAGGGTAACTTTAGACAATCAATGTTTTCCAAAAATGCTTTTTTTGCTGTCTGAGTAACATGAGCAATAATACATAATAAATAATAGGCATCTTTCTATTATAGTATTTTTATTATATAATGATATATGATATAAATATCAAAAATTATAATATATATTACTAGTATATTAATTTTTGATATTTATGGCTATCTTGATAGATTTAATAATATATTTTATTAATAGCAAATATGCGATTAATTAAATAATTTTCATTAATAACATAAATCATCTTAATATTTTTAGCATTCATAAAATGCCAAGAAAATGTTCGACAACTCATCCTGGCACAAGAAAATATGGCACTTAATCTAATTACACCAATTCTACACTTCAAGAGGCTTTAGCCAAAATTAAATTAGAAAAAATGTCGATTGGTGAAGCTTCTAAAATTTATAAAGTACCTAAAGCAACATTATTTTATAAGCTAAAAAGTAAACACTGTAAATCAGTAGGACGCCCTATTGCCCTTAGCATTGATGAGGAATTTTGTTTTGAAAATCACTTACTTTATTTAAGTGACAAAGGTATACCAATTGGAATTAATGATTTTAAAAGTATTGTCAAAATCTATCTGGATGATAGTGGAAAAAATATACAACAGTTTAAAGATAACCGACCAGGTTGGGAGTGGTGTAAACTTTATCTTGACAGGCATCCATCATTAAAAGAAAAAGTATCTCATTGTATTTCAAGGAAACGTGCACAGGTTAATTATTGTCAAATAAAATTATTTTTTCAAAATCTAGAGAAGGAATTAAATGGAGTAACGCTAGATAACATTTACAATATGGATGAAACAGGGTTTCATGATGACCCTGGAAAAAAAAACTTCAAGAATGGCAACTTCTTGCAGTGGCTGGATGGAAATTCAAATATTTGAAGAGTGACTGTTAAATCACTTTGTTCCAAATATTATAAATAAGGTAAAAAAATTCTGATTTGCGATAATTTAAGTGCTCATATATCTTTAAAAGCCTTAAATAAATGTGAAAAGCGTAATATAACATTTATATGTTTGGTACCCAATTCCACGCACCTTTTACAACCTTTAGATGTTGGATATTTCTCGAGTTTAAAAGCTAATTGGAGGTCAGTTCTTAATCAATGGCGTAAAACATCCAGAGGAAAAAAGGTTAATAACCTGCCAAAAAATTTGTTTACGCAACTCATTAAATCTACTCTTAATGTTGGTAACCAGACAAGCTCTCTCCAAATTACCCAGTTTTACAAATATAGAAATTCAACTCAATATTGGAGAATCGTTTAGGAATTATGTTGATGATATTCATCTTAATTATGAAGTTAGCAAAAAATGTAAGTTACCAATAACAGCAGGGAAAAGTGTATCAGCCACTGAGGTAGAAGCATACTATAAGGAAAGAGACAATAAAAAAAAAAGTCAAGATAATATTCGAGCAAAGAAAAGAGGAAGACCACTTGGATCAAATAATATGGTTATGAAAATAAACAAAAAACTTAATATTTTACAAAGTTCAGGCATCGTAAATGTTAATCAAGTTATTGAAGACAATGAACAAGTTTTACCTCTATCTCAAAATGATGCAGTTTTTTCATTGGAGCAAATAAACAATCACTATGTACATGTTTTCCTTGATCATGACTATTTTGTAAAAGAGTTAGTTGTAACTCAAGACTAAAAGAATGAAACACTGTGATATTTAGTTTTATTGTCAATGGTGTTTATTTGTGGAGAATTATATAAAAATAATGTCTTAATTATTTTTTCTTTTATAACCTTAAAATTATTTTGTGAAATAAAAAAACTTGTTTGTTTATTCTCGAAATATTTTATTGAAAAACTTGTTTGTTTATACTAGAAATATTTTATTGAAAAACTTGTTTGTTTATTTTCGAAATAGTTTAACTAGATTTTTTAAAAAAACTTATTTAAACTAATACAAAAATTTAAACAACTTTTTAGATTTAAAAGATTAAAATTGACATTCAGTTTAATAGTGTTCAAAGTTACCCGAAATGCGAGGGTAACTTTGAACGCCTACTTGAACATTGTTTTTTTACATAATATCTAGCAAATTTAAAAAAATGATATCAAACTAGAAATAAGAGATCATCAGAACACCCTTTATGTAAAAATATTTGTTATCTAGTTATTAAAACAATGACTGTACTGATATTGTTACGCCAATGATGGCGAAATATTGCGCCATTATCGATTTACTGATATTGTTATGCCAATATTGGCGAAATATTGTTGCAAATATTGGCCTAATATTAAATTTTACATATTGGTACGCATGCGTAACATTAAGGAATATTCATAATGTCTTTTAGTTTTGTTAAATGTGTTTAAATTAGGGTTGTTAACCGGAGGATTTCGTGCAATTCCGGAAAAACAACATTCTTTCGTAAGGAGATTGAGAACGCGGAATTACATTTTTTCGTACCGAATGTTACAAAACATTTAAAATCGCCGATGTTCATTTCGCAAAAGCCACTTCCGAAATTTAGCATTTCGCAAGTTGACATACGAAACAAAACTATTTTGCAACATACGAAAGTAGCGGTTTCGGAAGTCGCACTTGCAAAACAAACATTTTCGCCAAACGACGTTTTGAAGTCTATAAAGAAAATTTGTTTGCCAGACTGATTTTAATTGTAAAAATTAACATCTTTAAAACCCAAATTGTTTATTATGAATTTTTATAACTCAGTATAATAACTATTAAATTTTTATGGTTTTATTTTTAGAAATATTAATAAAAAATAAAATTTCTTTCGAAACGAAAGTATTTCGGATCACAACATACGAAAGAATTCTTAACGGAAATCAACTTACGAAACGTGCCATAATAAATATATACAACGATGTTTTTTGAACTCGTTACGTATATTAAAAATAAGAATGATGGGTAGGAATATACATGTTTTTTTTTTAATAGCATATGAAATTTTTGAAACAGGTTCGAATATGCTTAAGCAAATAGTAAAAAGAGGCTCAAAAATATGCTTTAGCTTAAGCATATTTCTGATAAAATATACCTATTTCAATAATTTCTAAAAGTGTTCACGTTACTAAAGTTCTAGCAGATTTTAAAGGTATGTAGAGTCCTGTTTGAATACGCTTTTCGAAGTATAGATCTTAGAAAATATTGTTTTTTAATTTTAATAAGATATAAATTTAAGTATAAGATTGTATAGTTCAATCAGTTAGATACGTGATAATTCGCCGCAGAGATCCCGGTTCGCATTCCGCAGCCATTGTAACTTTTGTTCATCAAACTCTTTTTACTTAAGATAGCATTTTTTGACCTCCATGTTCTATATTACAGATCTTTCGTCACCTTCACAATAGTGACAACCTCTCTTCTGTTAGTTATTCTTTTAAGATTGAGTTCATTGTGCTTAATTCAACACGTTTCCCTTGCTTTACTAAGTTCTACTTAAATTATGATGAAATGTACGTAAAACAACTTTTTCAAATAATATAAATCATTTTGCTTTAAATCTTTTGCTTTTTGTACTAGACATCTGTCCTAAATATTTTGTTATAATTTCTAGCTAACTCTGAGTCTAATATAACCATTTCTGAATATAATTTCCCTGAGGCTCCTACAGCCTAATGTGTTCCATTAAAAGTAACTAGTTTTTGAGTCCAGATATTAATTACAAGCATCTAAAGGTTCACATTACTATTTATTTTCCTTATATATAGAATCCTATTTGCATTCGTATCTCTTTCTGTAAATTCTGTTTTATATAGTTTCTTAATTGTATATTAAATAAATATTACTATTTACTTAGTTGAATGAACGTATAGCTCATTCAGTTAAGACATTTGGCCGCGTAGACCCAGGTTCACATCCCGCTGTTTCACATATATTTCTTCTCTTTTTACTCTTTCTGATATCATTTACCTTTAGAGAGATCTCTCGTTCTTTATAATAAAGTATTTAATTGTTTATCACACATCCTCTTTATACTTTTTAAAAAGAAAGGCATACTGTTTATCTGTTCATTGAGAGTCCAACTTAACGGGATTTTACTGTATATATATGTATATATTTATATATATATGAATATATATATATATATATATATATATATATATATATATATATATATATATATACATATATATACAGTAAAATCCCGTTAATGTATATATATATATATATATATATATATATATATATATATATATATGTATATATATATATATATATATATATATATATATATATATATATATATATATATATATATATATATATATATATATATATATATATAAAAGGTATATTTGTATAAACATTTGAAGAATCATTTGACAACATTTTTTTATAATTTTATTATTTATTATTTAAACTGTTAACAGTTAATATCTTAAATATATCGTAACATAAAATCTTTTGCGTCTTTTTCGTAACTGCACATTCCGGAATGCTCCTTCCGTAATGAACTATTTCGTAAGTATTCTTACGAAATGATTTGTTTCGCAAGTCTTCTTTCGTAATGCGTTATTAAGGAATTTTATTTATTTATATTTTCGTATAGAGCGTTACGGAATGTGCATTTTCGCATGTGCAACTTCCGCAATAACAATTCTATTACGGAAGATAAAAATGCGAAATTTTCGTAAGTTTTGTTTTTCGGCGAACAACCCTAGTTTAAATGTAAATATAGCATCTTTTTACATAAACAGGCATCCTTATGTTATTAATTTTTTTACAAAAACAAATAAGAGTTCAAAATAAAAATTTGAATTTATGAAAAGAGAAGAAGTAGGAAAAGTATTTTTAATTCAACATTTACAGAGTGAATCAGGAGAATAAGTGTTGGTAATTTATTTTGAAACAGATAGTATCACGAGAAGAAGTGGTAAGAGTAATAAAATTCTTTTATTCAACATTGCGAATTGAATTGCAAGAAGAAGTGGTTGTTATTAATTTAAAATCATATTGCATCACGAGAAGAATAGGAAAAATATTGCTATACTTAAGTAAAAAAATATTGCTATACTTAAGTATCACAAAAACACAGAAGAATTTATCTATAAAATATAAGTTTTATAGTCTATTTGTTTTGTTAAAGATATTCGTTTAAAAAATAAATACGTCATTGTTATTGTTTCTAACTGTTATAAGATTTTATTTTACGAAAAAGGTACCTCTGCTTGACACATAAAACGCCAATAATATATATATATATATATATATATATATATATATATATATATATATATATATATATATATATATATATATATATATATATATATATATATATATATATATATATACGCACACACAAATTTATTACAAGATAGTAATTTTGCAATAAAAAAGTTTTTTTTATGTATTTTATTTTATATATATATATATATATATATTTATATGTATATATATATATATATATATATATATATATATATATATATATATATATATATATATATATATATATATATATATATATATATATACATATTTATATATATAAATGTATATATTATATATATATATATATATATATATATATATATATATATATATATATATATATATATATACGCACACACAAATTTATTACAAGATAGTAATTTTGCAATAAAAAAGTTTTTTTAATGTATTTTATTTTATATATATATATATATATTTATATGTATATATATATATATATATATATATATATATATATATATATATATATATGTATATATATATATATATATACATATTTATATATATAAATGTATATATTATATATATATATATATATATATATATATATATATATATATATATATATATTATTGACCTTCACACACATACGTACACACACAAATTTATTACAAGATAGTAGTTTTGCAATAAAAAAGTTTTTTTTTTATAATATCTTTTATTTTATATAGCATTTTATTTTATGCAATGTTATAGGTAATAAACAAATCAATAAGTTAAACTAGATCTGCCATATCACATTATATTAAGAGTAGTTAAACAAGATTAAAGTAAAATTCACACAATAAGTAATGCTGAAAATAGTAAAAATTATATAAATGCGATATAGAAAATTTATATCAAGGTATATCAAAAGCTTTCGACACATTTCATAACTATCTCCTACTTCTAAAATTAAAAGCTTATAGAATAGATAACAAACTCTACAATTGGATTTGAATGTTACCTAAGAGATTGGCATTAGAGTATCATTGTTGGTGGTACATACTCAGAATGGATAATAGTAAATAGTGGGTCCCCTATTATTTACTTTTATGATATATATTAATGATTTTTCTGATTTGGTTTTAGATGTTGTATCTGTTTTTACATATGATACTAAGTTATACAGTTTGCTTTTTGATAGCTCACCATGCAATAACCTGCAAAAAAGTATGGACATTATACCAAACTGGGCAAAACTATGAAAACTAAGTTTTAATGTAAAAAAAATGTAAAGTTATGCCCTTGGGACCAACAAATACTAAAAATCATTTACATACTCGTCAATAAAAATCTCAATACTTCAATTAATCTTAAAAACTTTCTCGTCAATAAAGGGATCTTCATTGACAGTAATTTTATTTTTATTTTTTAAGTACAAAGAATAACACTGCCAATAAAATTGAAGGAATGATCAAAAGATCATTTGTCGATCTCAATATCTTGACATTTTGTACTTTGTTTATTTTCCTTGTTCGTCCTCACCTTGATTCTTGCAGCTCTGTCTATCTACTAACTTAGGCTTTAAAAAGACCAACAATTAATTTAAAATGTTCTATGCTAGTTTAGTAAGTTTGTTTTTGTAAGTTTGAGCTATCGTTTCTTATGTAATGACATGGCAGAAACTTACAAATTCATTCGCAATCTTTATAATTGTAGTTGCAACCCTTTTGTTTCCTCATTAAATACCATTCAGTATTTTATCTATCAACACCTGTGTCAGAATAATGTCATCTGCACAGCCATTATATTTATTATTGTAATTACAGACCATTAAGTAGTTAATCTGAGTGGTAATAGCATGCCTGTTAATATGGCCTTCTTAATATTAATATATGATTATAAATTTAGTTAGTATTTATTCCTCCATTATGACTAACTCCAACTTAACAAGATGCGATCATGCTTATAAATTGAAAAAAATGTTTTGTAAGACAGATGTCCGGAAAAAACTTTTCTAATATGAAATTCACAAATTTGTAGAATAGTCTACCATCTGAAATAGTGTTCAACATCTGTCATGACATTTAAAAAACATCTTTTTTTTTTTTTTTAATTTTAATTCACCTCCTCAAGGCTGAGTAGGCCACTACAGACAAGGAGGCTACTTATTTTGTGGCTATAACTCTCTCTCAACTCTATAACTCCGAAACACGAACCTTGACGAACAAGGCCGCTGCGCGGAGAAACGAGTTGAGCGCGGTACTACCAGGGACGTGGTGGGGATCGAACCCGGAACCACTCGTTTATGAAGCGAACGCTCTACCACTACACCACTACCGCATAAATCTAGATGCATCTTGGGTTTATCAAATGTACAATTGCATATAAACAATTAGACCAACACAATTAGATACAATAGAACAAAAGGTTGATAGGCTTTTTTATATACCTAATTATTCTATTTGTAAAATTATAACCTTAGAAAATAATAATAACAACAACAATAATAATAACAATATGTTATATCAAAATCTTATAATTAAACACCAAATAATTAAAATTAGTTAAACGCCGAATAAGTTTTATGTTTATTTTTTTAGTGTTGTATATTAAAAACACTTATTTTCAGTGTTCCATAACTGAGAAAAATATTCTTTGCCTGGCTAACTCATTCAATTGAGCATGAGATCTTAATCTCATGCTAATTAAAATCTCGTAATCTCGGGGTAAATATTTACTTAGACCCTCAAGTTGTTTATCTTCCTTAATATCATATTTAAATAAGAAAATGTTATCATAGAAACCTTTCCAAACCGCGCAAACTTTAAAATTCACTTTTTTTTACTAACCAATAATTAAACTCTACTTGTAATAAAAAGCGATTACATTAAAAATTAAGAAATGAAACTCAATAATTTTTAGACTAATATTTTCAGTTAAAAAAGAAAAATAATCTGAAAAAAAAAGTTAATCTGAAGTTTTTTTATATCATAAATTTATTTGTGATTATTTTTTAGCTGATGTACCATTAAACCGAAGGTGGTATTAAAGTTTACAAAATTTGCTCTGGCTGAATTTTTTGATGAAAAAACAATATGTGTGCCATGAATGTAATCTTTTTTTTCATGGCGGATCAATGAAAGTTTGGTGTATTGGCCAAATCACTTGCAAGCATCTTGCCTTCAGGCTGCCATACATAAAGTCACGCTTTTAAAAGTAACTGAAAGCAGCTGAAAATAAGAATTTTTTGGTAATTGTCTTATTTACAATATTGTTTTTTGTTTTATTTACAGTATTGTCTTTGTTTTTTATCTAAATAGCTATGTTTGACTCAAATATAGTAAATGTATGGTTTCATCTCTTCTTTATACTTTTTTTTGACAGTTATGAAACTGCTCTAGAATGGAATTATCTGTGCCTCCAGCTTAAAAGGATGCAGGTTACAAAAAAAGTGACACTGATGAGATTGTCTCTCAGTTTCTCAAACATTGAAGAAATCTTTAGTGTTTTAGGGTTAAGTGATTCCAGCAGAGCTTTGCTTGAGAAAACCGCGGCAAAAAAAGAGAACTTTTTTTGCCGCGGTTCTCTTGCAAAAAAAGTTCTCTTCTCTTTCAATTTATTGAATTTATTTGCCGGTTATAGAGAAAAAAAGATCTTCTAAACCTCAAAGAAAAAATATGGAACAAAGACACCTTATGAATCAATAGTATATATCAGTGATTTGATATTAGTAAATAGTTTTTGGAAACAGTACCATGTATTATTAAAGTTTCTAATTTTTAAAATATATGATTCATTTATAAGTAACATACAAACAAATGATAAAATATGATACGTGATTGACTATAATTATGTTGTATATCAGAATATTTTATATAAATGCTTATTACATTTTATTGTGATTTTTATCTTTTATGCCCAGTTAGCAATGTATTTTTTGTAGCAATGACTACTAATCTCAGATATCTATGACATCTAAAGGGTGTATTCACCGCTATAGAGGTCATAATCTATTTATAACCAATTGCTTTTATTCTTCCATAATGTCATATTTTAATAAGAATCACATTATGGAAAACCCTTTAATACATACACATGAGGAACCATTATACTTTTAGTACAACCAATTATATTACATTTGTTTTCTTATTTTAGATGAACTTTCTTACTTCGGTTGGAGATGAAAAACAACTTACAGCGACAATCTTAATACAGTAAATGGCCAAAGAAGTATGTTTTTCATACTTAGTGTATGGAAGGAAACAAAAACGTCCTGCAAGGTCGTTATAGGTAAAGCACAATATTTGTATTTTACATCCCATTTCCTTTTAATAAATAAATATTTTAATAAAAGCTAATTATTTTACAGTATTTATATGTGAAAAATTATATATTTCAAAATTATATTGTGATGATATTGAAAAAAACATTTTTTAGAATTGCGTTTAGTCATTTATCGTTGTATTCGTTCATTTCGAAATCGCTACAAAAGTATTAAAGAAAAAATTGGCAGCTATATATATATATATATATATATATATATATATATATATATATATATATATATATATATATATATATATATATATATACATATTTTTTGTACCTGTATTTAAATAGCTTTGATTTTATTTTGTTATATTTTGGTTTTGGAAAACTCTATACATATTTTTTTCATTTGTATCTGTTTCATTTAACTTCAAATAAATTTAATGATTTCGAATTTTTTTTTCTTAAAGCGTGTTCTATGATCATTGTCATCTCCTAGACTATAACCTGTTTAACTCAAAAGAATAATGCACCCTAGTACTATAGTATCACTTAAACAAGAAAACTGTTATAAATTTTAATTATAACAAATTTATAGAAGGCAATATTTTTTATTATTTTTTAATAATAAAAATTTAATCAAAAATACTCAATATATTGCCTTAATTTAGTCATATATATTATAAATATCAGGATAATATTGTAAACTATATTAGGCCAATATTGGCCAGTATAATATCCCCATTATCGGCGCGATATTATTTACAATATTGGCGCAATATTATAAACTATATCGGGCCAATATTGCAATGTGAACATTTTGCCAATATTGGCCAATATTGACTTTACAGTATTGGTGCAATATTGTATCGTCAATATTGGCCAATATTGACTTAACAATATTGTGGCGCCGATATTGGCCAATATTGTCACAATGTTCACATTGCAACATTGCACAGTGGGCCAAAATCATTATTAGCTGGACAAAATTAATAACTTTTAAAATATTTATCAGGTTTTTCCCATAATTAGCAGCTTGAGTATATTTCATATAACAAATCTAATGGCACCATTAGATTGTTTATTTGGTTGCCATGGATACCTATATTTCATGTCAACAGGCATTTTGCATAGTTACCTAAATAAAAAGACTTTCTCAAAATATCAAAGTTATAAACTAAACTGATATTAATGCTACATTGCTATTTTATGTATTTGAATGATAACACAAACAAAAAATTATCAATTTTTGGTGTTACTATGCTGTTATGTGCTCTTAGAAACCAGTTGGTAATTTTTTTTTAATTCAACTTTTTCTTAATTCAAACTTTTTCTTAATTCAAAATTTCTTTAAAAAATGAAATAAAAACTTTTAAAACACTCTTAACTATAAAGGTTTACAGGAACAGTTAATTAAATTTTAACTGTGTAGTTTAGAAAACCATATAAAAATAAGCAAGTTTTTATGCAATTAGAGATACAAAAAATTTTATAACGAATATATAAGAAAACAAACTTTTATATTCATTATTTTATTATGTAAATATTAAATACTTATAAAGTAAACACCATCTTAAACACCAACGAAAATCAAAACTATGTCATTGACACTTAGTCAAAAATTGGAACCTCTTTAAGAAGATCGAAAACTCCATTTGGAAGAGCGTTTTTCTTAGGATGATGGGGTTTTCTCAAACTACTTATCAAAGGGTCAGAAGAACACATTAGTCGCCTTAATAAATCTTCGTTTGTTTTGGAACGCGAACACTTTCTAGAAAATGATTCTCGAAATTTCTTAAAATTTTTATTTTGAGCTTCTTGTGCCTCTTCGCTGAGCATGCCAATAGGCAAAGCCATTCTCTCTACAACTTGCCAACCATGAATAAGAATGTGATGCAGACTCTGTGGCATATGATACCATGGATAAAGGATTACATACTTCTCAGCTGTTTTGTAGCAGTATTCTCTAAATAGTGAAGAATCAATTAGAAAGTTAGATGACAATGTACACAAAATCACAAGCAACATCTTTATCATACTGACATCAAGTTCAAGAATTTGAGCAGACTTCTCTGCATTCTGAAAAAATTTTCTAGCAGTGTTTCCATTATTTGAAGACCCAGAGCCACCAGATGTTGGCATATCAATTATCAGTCCAACTTCATCACGAAACCTTATCTGGATTTTCTGTTTTCGTTCTTGAATAATTTTCTTTTCAGATATAGTTCTTGTAGCCCACTTTTTCACTGTCAATTTATAACTAATTTTAAGAAGACATTCCATGCTTTTAATCCAAGCATGGAGAGTTGAAAGACCGAAGCAGAGACCTATCTCTGTCAATGGCATATTTTTAGCTGCATTAAGATCATTCATTTTTTTTGGGCTGCATCCACAAACAGAACAACACTGAGAAGATGTAGTTGCTGTAGATAATGCTGTAGCAACTTTGCCGTCCACCATCGTTATTTCAATTTTATGAAGTATTGTTAAGTTTTCACAAAATGTTAAAGACAAATTTGCAATTGAATTGTTAATAAACTGATTCTCTTGTTTCAAAACTTCAATGGTTTCTTTTTTAAATGAAAATCTTATTGGTCTGCAATATAAAGTTGAAGATGGATGTGGATTAGACCAAATTATTATTTTTTTATCATTAATGAATCCAAACAACTGAAGTGGAACAAAACAAGAAATAAACAAACTAGCTTCTTCTAAAAGATCTCTGTTTTCTTTCTCAACTGTTACTTGATTATAAATCCTTTGGCTAGTTGATCCATCAAACCCAACTTTAGAATATAAAGTCAACCTTTCAAGATCATTCATTGAATCAATAACTTGTTTCTGCAACTGTATTAAGCGTATTGCTGTATGATCGACTAATGCTTGAAAGTTTATTTCTGCTGAAAAATCATTTACAGTCCATAATGTTTTTTCAGGAAGACACTGTTCTTTAGCAGCACGAACATCATTGTAAGCAGGATAGAGATTACAACCTTTGCTCAAAGCATTATTTCTCAAGCGTTGGTAATCAGGTTTGCTCATATCAATATCTAATATGAGTGCTAGAGCTTCATTTAGAGTGTTTTGAGTATGTTCTGTATCAAAAGGTTGCTTAATAGATAAACTTCGAACTACTTTTGCATCCTTTCTTCTGCTATCTTTAAAAAGATTACAACTACTAGCATACAACAGTTCATTTGATGAACAAGTTAATAAGTCCATAGCTGCTACTTTACGACTCTTTGTCTTATTTGATGAATCATCAAATAATTTTACAGGTCGACCACTAACTATAGATTCAGTTTTATTATCCTGATTTTTAAATGACTTAATAAAGTCTTTTTGAAGCCATACTGAATTATGTTTCATAAAGTTTTCATCAATTCTTTTACTTAAAGACCAACGTTTACGATACTTGGACAAAAAAGTTACAAACTGAGCATCAAATTCAGAACAGTATTCACGAATAAAATTGTAAACATAAAGTTTGTCTTTTTCATTAGACATAGATAAACCATGCTGTCTTATGAATTGATGAATTTGATATCTTGTGATGGTTGACATATTACTAATAATAATATTATTAGACTAAAATAATATAAACATTAAAAAGTTGTATTAACATATATATATATATATATATATATATATATATATATATATATATATATATATATATATATATATATATATATATTTATATATATATATATATATATATATATATAAATACTTTTTATTTTGCGACAAAAGAAACTTGAAAAAGAAACATCTTTGATTTTATAAAGTATAAGTATTAAAAAGTATTATAAGTATTAAAAAAAGTAGCAGATACTAGCAGCTAAATTAATAATTTTATAAAAACATATACATATAGCCTTCAAAATATGTATAAGAGATAAAGGCAAAATAGAGCACAAATTTTTCCTTATTGTCTTTTCAAAAAAAATTAAAAAAAAAGTCCAATTTTTACCAAAAAATATATCTAAAACTGGTTTAAAATTTCTTTTTAACTTTTTTTTTTTTATAAATTTTATATATTAACAATTATTTGATATGTTAATAAAAACAGTTAACCAATATACTAAAAATTTATTACACACTTTTGCTTTTTTAAAAACTACATTTTCTCACTTTATCGCCATTTTTTGCAAAAATTTTACTTGAAATGAGTTTTTGTTGAGAATATATATTTTTTTAATTTATTGTAATTATTTTTAAGGTCCTCAATGTATCTAAGTAAAAACTTTTTAAAAAGAATTTCAGTTTTCAGACATAAATTTTTTTAGTTTTGTCCACCTACTGGCCCACTGTGCATTGGCCCGATATAGTTTACAATATTGCGCCAATATTGTAAACAATATCGCCCCAATATTGCGCCAATATTGTTTGCTACTAGGGATACATATCTATATAAAAAATATATATATATTTACATATAATTACTTCACAGCAGTGTTTTCACAAAACTGTTAGCAGTTTGTAATTCACTAAGCCAAGCATATTTTTTTATAATGTAACAAAAATAGAAAACAAATTATTGTTTACTTTTTGTAAATTCATAAAAAGCAACAAATTATCTTCACTGAAGATAATTTGTTGCTTTATTAAATAATAGTATAAAGTAAATAAAGCATTATAAACGGTTAATAGCTTTCTAAATGGGGTACAAGTTAAATTCAATTTCAAGCTTTTGATGAAAAGTTTTGCTTAAGATTAATGCAGGTTTTCTTATACAGAAAACTTAAATTTCACTTAATAAAATTACATCGTTTTGCTCTAAAGCCATTCGTACGTTATAACAAATGACATCATAAATAAGGCCCTTAAATAGGGTAACCATTGCCCCGGTTTTTATGTAGGAGAGTGCAGCCCTAAACTAATTTTAATTAGTTTGGCGATGCGCTCTCCTACATCTAAAGTAAATTCTTTTTTTTCTTTTTTTTTTACATGTTTATTTTACAACTACAAACCCAGCCAACATTGACATACGGGTACCGTACGAGACTCATTCGGGTCGTCAACTGGGTACCGTATGGGAAGACCAACGGTATCCCGCCGGATCATGACCGCGGTTTCTATATGGGACCCATATGGGTTAGCCCGCCGGGTATCCCGTATGGGTCCCAGTCAAATCCCGTACTTTAAAACCGTAAGGGACACATTTGGGTTTGCAAATGGGACCCATATGGGTAACCCATCGAGAACCCGCCGGATCATGGCCGTGGTTTTTTTCTGGGGCATATATGGGTATGCCCGCCGGGTATC